TTTTTTGGGTAGCAAAATATTCTCAGGAATATACTGACAATTCTTGGGGCTGAAGTGTAGGGTTTATATTTGTGTTCTGTGAAGGCTGTGCTGGTTCTTCCCTCAGGCAGAGCTGCTGGACATGACTCAGTTAATCTGAAGACACAGGATACCGGTTTGTTGGTTTGTGTATAATGTTTGTCCTTGTGCTTAAATGCTAAAGACTCCTTTCATGTAATTGCTCCTTCATTTTCTTAAATACCTTTTGCTATTCGTTAAATTTTAATAAAGACTCGAGTTTCTTTGCATGTATTTTTAATACCATTGATTTGTATCAATCTGGCTAAAAAAGGTAAAGGTACTCGGACACCACATGAGTGTAGATCCCTTGGCATGTGCAGCTGCCTGAACTATCAAGCACCTGAGAATCTCCAGCAAGGTTCAGGTAATTTAATGGTGCTGAATCAGGAATTTAGGAGATTTCCCTGTCCCTGGTAAGGCATCAAAATAAACCCCTCATGTTGAGAAGTCGCTGCACGGAAGTGCTTAGTGAAGGTGGCACGAGTTCAGTCAGTCCTGTGGGTTTGCAGGGGTGGGAGGGTCTGTTGTATTGTCTAATGTGCAGGGAGAATTGTCAGTCCATAGTTCTCCTGTAGAGATTGCTCCCACCCCTCTGCCAAACTCAGCCTGACCCGTCAGGACTGTGGGATTTGCCACAGAAGAGGCACAGGAGCATCCTCTTTCAGAGCCCAGGGATGGCTGAGCTCTCATTCCCCACTCCAGATGGGCTGCAACTGCCATGTCTGTGAGTCCTTCCTGATAGCAGTGCAGTCACCTGACTGATTAGAACTGAGCTGGCAGAAGATGAGAGTATTTTTCTGTGAGTTTACTGAAAATTGGTGGTTAGAGTCACCACTCAAAGGCTTCCCTCCTTCAGGCATGGCAAGGAGAGCTCAGCCTCCCACCCCCGTCAGTCAGGTGGCAAACAATCACCTATTTCTACCTGGGTAACCAGTATATGCAGTGACTGACCAAAGAGGGGACTATTTGGAGGTTTTTTTTCTTTTAAGAGAAATCGTGGTGTGTGTACTATTAATGATTTGTGCCATTTACTGAATCCACAGGAAAAACAGGGTTCACACTTTGGCAGTCAGTGATTTCCATGAGCTGATGATTGAAACGGGTGCCTCAGGTTGTTGTTTGAACTGGGGATGTTTGTTTTGTTATGTAACTCGAGGGTTCTGCATGTGCTTCATCTTCAGCCTTGTATTAAACTTGATTCGAAACCAAATTACATTTTTCATAGAAAATGTAAATAAACCATGTTATGTTTCCAGATATGAAGGGAAAATAAAAACCTCATGTCATCTCCACAAAAGGCACTGGCAGAAAGAGCAGTAGCAGGTTGTCTGCACAGGCTGTGCTGATCCCTGTCTATTTTGAATGTGTGTCAGGGACACGCTTCAAGGATTTGGGATATGCCCTAATCTCAGTCCCTATGGAAAATCTCACTGGTTAAAAAAAGCAAGGTCACCAAGGAGAGCAAATAATGTACTGTGGGAGGGGTTGACATCACATTTATCATACACTCAGTATTTAGCAGGGAGAGTGAAATTCTGGGTTAAGCACTCCTGTTATTTTCTTGTTCTTTGTTAGGTCTCATCTCCTGCCTGTCACACGTGTTTGCCCTCCACCTTGCAGCCCTCCCAGCCCTTGTATTCCCGGTGCTGGAGTCCCAGGAGCAGTGTGTGCAGCACAGCCATTTTGAGCTGCTGCTGCTCCTGAGCCATTGTTTTCCTCCAGGGAGATCCCTGAATACCTCACACACGTCCACTATCAGATTTGCAACTGTTTTGTTGAATTTGCAACTATTTGTTGAAAGATAATGTTAATTTAATGTCAGGAAGCAAGAAAGTTGCCGCTTATGCTGTGGTAACAAATTAGCTGTTCTGGTTTTGTTTTCCTGGACAGTTGCAGCGTTTCCCCAGCTGTTTCTGAACCAAGTGACTGAGTTTACCAAGCAAGATCTGCTGTTACTCTAATAATAATGCCTGTTGTCTGCGTTCTGTCTTCTTTTCCTTCCACTTATTTTGTCCCTGATCCATGTGTTGTGCTTCGAACGAGGAAGATCCTAGTTTTGTTTAAGACAGCAAGGCAGAGCTGCGGGTTTGTAACACAGTGAAAACACCAGGTAGGAAAAGCTGTGCTGGGGAAAACCACTGCCTTGCTGGGCTCAGGCACTTCGTTCTGCATTTGCATGTGAAAGATTCTGATAACAATCTGGCGGAAGAAAAAGGGCAGGTGAGACAGGCAGGTTTCTGGCAGGTGTTTGTAAGCGTTTGACGGGCAGGTGTCTGTAAATGTTTGACGAGTTGTTCGAGCTCATACCCAGCTCGTTATTTGCTTTCCCTGGCACTGCAGCTGCTCGTTCTCAAGCTCCCTGCCCGTGGAGCTGCCCTGGGCACTTTGGAACACTCTCCCTCCTCGGTGGGTGCTGGGCACACTCTGGATTTGGGGCAGCAGCAGACCCGTGACCCGCAGTGCTGGGCGAGGCCTCCTGCACAGACCAGGGTGCTTCTTTTCCTCGGACCCTCTCACTTGTGCAGGTCCGAACCGGTGCTGCCCTTCCCCCAGGGCTGGGGCCGGGGCTGCCCCTCTGCACTCCCGTCCATCCCGATCCCTGCCAGGGCTGCCCCTCTGCACTCCCGTCCATCCCGGTCCCTGCCCTGCCTGCGGGGAGCAGGGCACGGCCGAGCCGGGGGGCAGCAGGGGGGTTGAGGAGAAAGGCAGAGCGGCCCATTCTCATGTAAACCGTGTTTGTGAGGAGACAGGCAGTGCTTGGCTGCCACAGATCAGGGAGGGAGATAACGCCAGGGCTCAACCTGGCCGCGGTATTTCAGTGTTTGTGTGAGGAGCTGCTGCACACACGGTCACACTGCCTGGGTCTGTGTTCTCCTCCACACACGGTCACGCTGCCTTGGGTCTGTGTTCTGCACACACAGTCACACTGCCTTGGGTCTCTATTCTGCACACACAGTCACACTGCCTTGGGTCTCTATTCTGCACACACAGTCACACTGCCTCGGGCTGTGTTCTCCTGCACACACAGTCACAGTCACACTGCCTCGGTCTGTGTTCTCCTGCACACACGGTCACGCTGCCTTGGGTCTGTTTTCCCCGACAATCCACTGCCGTGCTGCTCAGCCCTGATGTCCACGGGCGGTGCTCTGGCACACTCAGGACCCCCCTGCTCTGGTGTCCGGTCCTCCCCGGGGACAAGGACCGCGCACACCCAGCCCCTGCTGCCCCCGCAGCGGCCGAGCCGGCGCTGCCCGCGGGGCTGGGCGGGCTCCGGGGATGGCTGGCTGGAGGGGGGAGGATGGGTCCTCCCGGGCATTCTCTGCTCCGCAGCGCTGTGTGAGACACGACAGCACGGAATGGGGAATCTGCTCTGAATCATCACGCTGTAGGAACCTTACGCTCACCAAACCACCTCTTGTTCCTTGGATCGATTCCATCAATAATTCTGGGAGAGATGGCTGAGGAGTGGTTTTGGCAAGGTGACACCGATTGCTTTCTCCCCATCTAGAGGTTTTTGGGTTGTGTGGCTCCCTTGGGTTTTACATTCTGTGCTGAGACGATTGTAACCCTTCCTCTGGGACGCCTGAGAGCAGCTGCTGTTTCTGTCTAGACACCCGGGCAAGGATGGATATGACGAAGAGCTGTTTTCCTCCTCTGGCTCGGGATTAAATCTCTCTGTCACAGGTAAGGTCTGCACAGGTTTATTTGCTGGGGTGAATAGAAGGCAGGGAAGGTTTCATTCTTCCTGCTGCCACTTCACGTGGAAGGGCTCTGCACAGATGGTGGGGGGTGCTGTGAAAACACATTTCAGTGAGTCTTTCTGCCTGAATTAACCTGCTCCCCCCTGCACAAATGACAGGCACCGCTTGTGTAGCGGGAAATGGACCTTCCCTGGGAGACAGGAGGGTTTAACGCTGCCCAAGTATTGTTCAAAGACATGTTGTTATTCATATGCTAACTGCTGACTTGCTCAGGGATGCTCCCTGCTTCCCTGAGTTGCTCTCTGTCATCTCCTCCAGCCAAATATCTCCTTGTAACACTGGCAAGCAATTAACTATCATTCATAATTACAGGGTAAAAAGCTTTGCAAGGAAACTGTCTCATTAGAATAAGAATATACCAGAGTGCATTATACAAACCATACCTTACAAAATGAGAACGTGTCATTTTCAAAAATTAGTGACTAAAATGAAGAGCCATGGGTGACTTTTAAGGAGATCCAAATGCCCCAAATATCAAAGGTATTAAGCAGTAACTCAGTGGAAAACTAGAGCAAAAACAAGAACAGTCTACTAGTACTTGGGCTTTGTTGATAAAAACAGCTTGTAAACACTAACAGCATTTACATATTAATGAATCTCTCACTGACCATTAAATAACAGGGTATCTCTGGTTTTTTTCTTAAGACCAGAGCATTTCTCTAAGGAAATGGATACGTCTTCCCAAAAATACCCAGTCAAAAAGCGAGTGAAAATCCATCCCAACACAGTAACAGTGAAATACACTTCTCATTATCCCCAGCCAGGAGGAGAAGGATGTGAGGATGTTAATGAAGATCCTGGAGTATTTAACGAGGATAATCCTAAGAGAAGACTACTGAGTGATGGGAGAAGGAGAGAAAGGACTTTTTTTGGTACAATAGACACCAAGCCAGCACAACTGCCCAAACCCGGTGAGGTGGGGCAGTGCCAGCATTTTCCTGAAGGGAATGCCCTGCAGTCCAGGAGGACGTGGGCAGTCCTGTTCGGCTCTGCCGTGGCTCACGGCTGCGTGGCTCTCATCACCAGACTGGTTTCTGACCGCTCCAAAGTGCCCTCCCTCGAGCTGATCTTCATCCGCTCGGTCCTGCAGGTGCTGTCCCTCACTGTGGTGTGTTACCACCACGAGCCTCCCTTCGGCCCCAAAGGCTACAGGCTCCGGCTCTTCTTCTACGGGGTGTGCAACGTGGTCTCCATCACCTGTGCCTACACCTCCTTCTCCATAGTGGCCCCCAGCAACGGAACCATCATGTGGAGGGCGACCACCACGGTGTTCAGTGCCATTCTGGCTTTCTTGCTCATGGATGAGGGAATGGCTCACATAGACATAGTTACTGTGGTCGGCAGCGTGTTCGGCGTTTGCCTGGTCATGATCCCCAACATTGTTAAGGAGGAAAACTCTTTGCTGAGCACCTGGAAGGAAGCTTTTGGCTACACCATGACCGTCATGGCCGGCCTGACCACTGCCCTCTCCATGATAGTCTACAGGTCCATCAAGGACAACATCAGCATGTGGACAGCCCTGTTCACCTTCAGCTGGACGGGGACGCTGTGGGGAGCGGCCACCATGTTCCTGCTCCAGGAGCCAATCGTGCCCCTGGATGGAGAAACCTGGAGCTACCTCCTGGCCATCTGCCTGTGCTCCACCGCAGCCTTCCTGGGGGTCTACTACGCCCTGAGCAAGTTCCACCCCGCGCTGGTGAGCACCGTGCAGCACCTGGAGGTCGTCATCGCCATGGCCCTGCAGCTCCTCGTGCTGCGCATCGTCCCGGGCGCCTGCGACCTGCTCGGGGCCGCCCTCATTCTGGCCAGTGTCTTCTTCCTGGCGTGTCACAAACTCTCCTGGATGAATTTAAGGCAGCAAGATTATCAGGAGATTGTGGACTCCTCCATTAAATGAAGCACAGCTTTGCTGTCTGAGTCTGGCTGTGACCACGTGAACATCACTCATTTCAGCTCCCGTGCCCCGGCGTCGTGGCCAGGCCCTCTCTCTGCCATTTCAGTTCTCAGCTGATGTAGCAATGTTGGTGTTCCCAGACTCCCATGCCAGGTGAATTTGTTCTGCTGCACATAACGACTGACATTTTGTCATACACAAAAGGGCACCACACAGGGTGCATGAGCAGAAGCACAGGCTGGCCCACAGGAGGGAAGGCCAAGTCACACGTGTTCTTCCTCCCCTTCCCTGGATAAGGCAGTACAGAGGGGTTCACTAGTGACTCTCATTCCTGTGCACTGTGGAAGTAGGAAAATGAGCAGTAAAACCATTGCAGTGGTCCGAGTTCTCTGTAATGCTTCTTAAGTTTTGCCTGCAATATTCTAAATGAAGTAACGTTAAATTTCTGTGGCTAAAACTTATGTTTCCTGTGTGTATAGAAGTCAGTAAAGTTTCTTGTGCTTTGTGGTTAAATTTCTGTCTGAACTAATGCAGGAAGCCCAGACCTCCTGTAAGGGAAAGAGAGCCTCAAACGCTGAATCTCCAGTTGTGCCACAGCTGGGAAAGGTCCCCAGGAACTACAAGGTCTGTGATGGATCAAAGATCCACCCCTGAAGCAGAGCAAAACCCTTTCTATGGAACCACTTTTTCTAAAAGAGGTTTCGACTATTATGCAAAGGAGGGGAAAAAAAGGGAGAAAATAAAGATTGTGTTTGAGGTCAAGGTGTGAGCACTGCTGGTAACACTGACCAGCCTGGAAGGCAGCAGGGACTTCAGTCAGGGTGCCTGGGTCCCACCACTGCAGTTAGAAAGCAGATCTACAAAAAACCCCAGGGTTCTGTGGTTGCAAACACTGCTCCTGGCCATGCTAATGTCCAGCTGTAAAGAGAAAGGCCAGCATCCAAGACTCTGTCAGTGGTCTCCATGCCAACCAGGCCCAGCAGGCACCTCCCCACCCCAGCCAATTGTGCCTCTGTTCTGGGACGTGAGCATTTTCCAAGGAAAAATGCATCACTCAGATCACCCCAACCACTCCAGCTTCCCCCATGGAAAACACATTTTACTTGGAAAAAGCCACAGCAGCAGCAATTACTTTTATTCCTATGAATAGCCCGGAGAGCAGGTTCCCTGACAGCAGCCAGCCCAGGTCTGTGTGACACCCACGTCCTCCCACGTCGCTGACCCCCGGTGTCAGGGGGACAGGGTTCCTCAGGCACTGGTACAGTGACAGCTGCCCCGACCACTGTTTCCTTGAGGAGCAGGAGGAGCTGGCAGGAGGAGTTGTGCCCACTGCAGGAAGGACAGGAGGAAGGGGAGCAGGTAAAGCAATGTGGTGCTGGGAAAGCCGTGCCCGGCCAAAAATCCCTCTGGTAGCTCAGGGCAGGGCAGTTCCCAGCCCAGAATCTTGCTGTGCTTCTATCAGCTGATTTCTCTCTGGGGCAGATGGTCTTTCTTCCTCTGACTGCTCAGACAGCAGGAAAGCTTCCTTTATGGAAAGTAACCAGGGCAAAAGGCTCCAGCTCCCACAGCTGCCGTGCCTGTCCCGCTCCGCAGGGAGCTGAGCTCGTGACTGTGCCTCACTCCTGCCAACACATGCCATGCCTGCAGCCAGCTGGGCACCTGCTGCCAGCAAGGAGCACTCGGCAGCAACACTCCCCAGGAGCCTCCCCTGAGCAGTGGGGATGAGTCCTGAGCTGCCCCAGAGCAGCAAAGCCCCCTCCTCACACCCTCCCTGCCCCCCCCGGCACCCTGAGCGCAGGCTGGCAGAGGCACCCAGGAGCCAAGCAGGGCACAGTCCCCCCCCAGGACCTGGGTGATGGCCGGGAGGGTGCCCAGGGCTACGGAGCGTGGTGCTGCTCCAGCTGTGCCACCGCCTGCAGCAGGTCCTGCACCGCCAGGTCCACGTCTGCCCGCGAGGTGTGCCGGCCCACGCTGAGCCGCAGGGCGTTCTGTGCCACGGCGGGGGGGATCCCACAGCCCAGCAGGATCGGGGAGGGCCTGGGACACAAGGGGTGGCCGGGTTGGACTGAAGGCCAAGGAAACACACACCCCATCAGGAACCTCCCCAGGCTGTGAGAGGGAGCCCATGTGCTCCAGGCAAACCTGTCTCCTGTACAGCACCCTGACTGCTGTCCAAGGGCAGCCGCCCTCACTGCGCTTGTTGCCCTACGGAGGATCTGGCTCTTCCCCTCCCAGGAAGAACCTGTGCCATGTCCCCGTGGGTTGGCAACTCTGCCATATCTAAAGAGCACTGCTCTAGACCAGACCAAAAGCAGCTGCTGTTCCCACCTTCCCCAGAGGAGCCATCTGGAGACCCAAACAGGGCTGCAGTGAGTGAGCCAGACACACGTGGACATAAGGCAGGCTCCCTTCTGGCAGCAACAGGAGTTCCAAAGTACTTCCAAGCTCAGCTGGATCACCAAAGCCGGGAGGGACAAAGTCCCTCCAAGCAGCAATCAAGCGTTCCAACTGTGTCTCCTGCAATAATCCCCTTCCCAGCCCTTCAGCCCCTCTGGAAAGCTCTGCACTCTCTCTGCTCCAGGTGACACTGCCCAAGCCCCGCACAGGCCCCTTCCCTGCCCCATTTCCCTCCCTTGGCAGACCCCAGGCCCAGAGCAGTCAGTGCTTACCGCTCCCCCTTGTCCGAGTGGCAGGCGGCCCCCACGCTGGCCAGCAGCACCTTGCAGTGAGCCAGCACCCTGTGCCCTGCAGGGACACAGCACAGCTCTGCTCTGTGCCAGAGCCACCCTGCCCCATGGCCACCCTGCCCCACAGCCCTGCCCGCTGCCACAGTGGGCACGGGGGCTGTGACACAGGGGCTGTGAGGGGCAGGGGCTTGGCTCCGTGGGCACAGCACAGGGCAGTGCTGGGGGAAGAGCTACCTTGCAGGCCTGGTCCCAGGATGGAGAAGTTAGAGGTGTTGCAGAGTCGCTTGGAGCCCTTAAAGCGACTGTTGAAGTGGATCCTCTCCTTCCCAAAGGAGGCCTGGAGAAATCAGAGGGCTGTGAACTCCTCGAGGTTCACGAGCAGCTCTGCCCTGACGAGGGGGTGGCAGGGCCAGAGGGACATAACCCACCCTGCTCCAGGCCCTGCTCTGCAGGCTGACAGCCCAGGAAGGGCCCAGGTGTGCTCACCTCCAGCCTGGCCTCCAGGTAATCCCGGACATCCCGCATATGAGCCTCGTAGGCCTCCCAGTTCTTGCTCACCAACTCTGCAGCCTGAGGACATAAAATCCCAACACTCTGATACCTCCCCCTGTGTGTGGTCCCTGGAATGAGAGTCCAGCCTGGAACAGTCTCTGTGATTGCCAGTTCCCTGTGTCCCCCATGGCCCCTCGGTGCCCTGAGCTGTGTGACTGCCAGGGCAGCAAACCTGCAGCAAGTGCCCCGAAGCACCTCATCCCACTGGCACCAGAAAGCTCCATCTTCCTTCCCTGTAGTTCTCCTGCCCTCCTGCACCCTAACTTTGTCACTTCTAATGATCAGGAAGCACAAGTGGCTGTCCCTGTGCTGGTTCTGCCAGGAAGCACCTGCAGGGAACCACTTCAGCCCTGCCCATCACCAGCTCACCTGGCCCAGGCCAGCAATCATCGGGGTGTTCTCAGTGCTGGAATGGAAGAGGGAAGAGTGAGTTATTTCTCTGGACCAGAAACCCAGCCTGTGGCACAGACATTCCCTGGGTGGGACCCCTCAGCACTGGCACCTCCCTGGGAAGGGGGCAGTTCCACTCTGGGGTCCCAGCTGTGGCGAAGCCTGAGCCCCAGGGAGTTCCACACATGGATGTGTGTCCCTGCTGTGCCGGGCTGCTTGCCCCAGGGCTGGCAGTGACACAGCTGCCAGCTCAGCTCAGATAAGGCAGCCACCTGTGGTTTGGCCACCAGCCCCAGCTCCCGGGCCACCCCCACCACCTTACCCTGGGCGGAAGCTCCTCTCCTGTCCCCCCCCGAAGAGCAGGGGGTGCAGGGGGGCCGTGCTGCCGGGGCCGCGCACGTACAGGGCACCGATGCGGGGGCCATAGAACTGTGGGACAGACAGCACTGTGACCTGGGGACACTGCCAGCCCCTCCCCTGCTCCGGTACACACCCACTGCCCTCCAGGGCTGGGCTGGCCCCTGCCCATCCCACGGGCACAGAGCACTGCAGGGCTGTGCCCCATCCCTGGTCCCCTCCTGCTCCCTGCTCCAGACAGGGCCCTGACCCGCAGGGTCTGCAGAGCCCCAGCCAGCAGGAAAGCTTCGGCCACTGACAAGGCACTGAGCTGTGGGGCCACCCAAAGTCCCCCTGGCACCCCACAGAGATGTCTGACAGGGTGAACAGCGCCTGGGCCAGGTGAACAAGGCCACACCCTGTGTCCCCCCATGGTGAAGAGGGGCCATACCCTGTGTCCTCATGGTGAGGAGGGGCCTTACCCTG